TAAAATGTTATTTAGTCAAGTTAAAGGAAGACATTAACTAAATCATATCATCAGGTGTTAGTCAGAAGATAAAACAGAAAACATTTGATAGCGAGCTCTGGAAAGCTAACTTTAACAGCATTGTTCTTTATCTGTAGGCTTAGAAAGTTGTTCAGGACTAAAAAGTATTTTTTTTTCAGTCAAGGACGTGTGTTTAAGGTAAGCAATATTTTTCCTCGCAGAAAACGTGCGTCGAATAGTTACTTTCAGTTAGGACCTTATTGCACTGAAAAACAACTTCAACTGGGTCATTCCCTGAAATCTGGGTTTTATCAACAACCCGGCCGTAGAATCCAATATGGCGGCCCGCAAATAAAACCAAATGATCCAGCTGAAAAAACTAAAAAAAATTTCCAATTTAAGTTTAACAAATTAACAAAAGGTCTAACCAAACACCAAGCTGACGTCATTGACTATAAGTTGTGATGAATAGGGGAAAATTAACAGATTTTAGTAGGATTTGGTAGATAACGAGGAGGTGGTGCTTAATTATGGACAGAAGTGATTACAACATTTTTGATCTCTAATAAAATCATAATTATTTAACTGGAATATGAATGAATAATTTAAAACTTTTTGTCTTTTTATTTATTTATTTTTGAACATTTAAAAACTGCACAGTCAGCAGTTTGGACCAAGATGGCAGCTGGTTCTGTAAATGAGATGACCTCAGAAATCTGACATGCTGTTGCTGTGTTTTTTCCCTCAGTTTGGGAGTGAAGATGTCGTCAGGTGCTCTGTTTCCGAGTCTGGTCAGCGGCTCCAGGGGAAGCTCCAGCAAATACCTAGTGGAGTTTCGTGCTGGTAAAATGAGCCTGAAGGGGAACACGGTTACACCCGACAAACGCAAGGGCTTGGTGTACATCCAGCAGTCCGATGACTCCCTGATCCATTTCTGCTGGAAGGACAGAACCACCGGGAACGTTGATGATGTGAGGATTTTATCTTTAAATTAAGCCAATAATTTAAAACACACATTCAGTGAAATCTGAAATGTTTATTACTTTCATGATGTGATTGGAAATGATTTTACGATAATTTGAAACTAAATTAAACCAAAATAATTTCCTTACCTTCTCGTTACTGGAGATGTTTTGATGTGTTTTGGTGTTAGTTGGCAAAACAGTCAGGCTTTGATTCTTGTTTTAGAAACATAACACAGAAAACTGTCCCAGATATAATGATTTTTATTTATTTATTTTTTTGCAATCAAAATTCCTGATTGTGGTGGTACTCTAGGAATATTTGCAAGGACCTGAGCAATATTTGAGATAAATTTCCTTATTTAAATGTTGTTTTTTTATGTTTATAACGTGACATGAAGTAAAGTTGAGGCAGCAGTGTAAGAAATACTGCCACCTGCAGGTTGGAGTTAGCATTTCTTAAACCCAAACTTTTTGACAATTTCTGTGTAAAATTTGCAGTAAACTCTATGCATTAGAAAAAAAAATCAGGCATTATAGTTATTTTTTTTACCTGAATTTCTGCCAAAAAATGAAGTGGCTGATATAAATAATAAAGTTATTAAACTATATCTGACCTCTGGCTTTTGTGATTTAAAAAAAAATATTTTTATTTTTGCAAACAAAATTGGTGCTGCTTTAAGAACATTTACAAGGACTTAAAATACAATATTTTTGCAATTAATTTATTTAAATGTGGTTTCATTGTTACTCACCATATCTATCTGTAATGTGTTAAGGCAGAAGCAGCAGTGAAGTAGAAGAAATACTGCCACCTGCAGGCGGGAGTTAGCATCACATGAACTCAATGTTTTTGACCGTTTTGTTTTTGCAGAAAATTTAGAATAAACTCATAGCAAGAAAAATGCTGGGTGATTTTCTGCAAAAACTCAACAGACTAATGTAAATTATGAATAATTTTTGGGTTGAGTATTTTTTGGGGGGCTTGAGTTCGAGGCTTATTTTCCAGGAGAACTAAACCAGAACTGAAATGTCCTGCAGGACCTGATCATCTTCCCTGACGACTGTGAGTTTAAGAGAGTGAACCAGTGCACCACGGGACGCGTCTATGTGCTGAAGTTCAAGGCTGGCTCCAAAAGGCTCTTCTTCTGGATGCAGGTGGGGAGACGCTGCTAATTTGTTGGATGGAAATCTAAGTGCATATAAGAGATGACTAACATTTCAAACTGTTCAACTCAGGAGCCCAAAACGGACAAAGATGAGGAGTTCTGCCGTAAGGTGAACGAGTTCCTGAACAACCCTCCGATTCCTGGCGCTCCGGGCAGCGGAGGCGGCAGCGGCCACGAGCTGTCGGCGCTGGGCGGAGAGGGCGGCCTGCAGAACCTGCTGGGGAACATGAGCCACAACCAGCTGATGCAGCTGATCGGTCCGACGGGGCTCGGTGGACTGGGTGAGGCACTCTGAGTAACGCTTCGGGTTTCACCAGCTGCATCTCTGCTAGCCATAGAATTGCGCAAAGTGAAATTAAGAAAATACATTTGCAAAAAACAAAAAGTTTTTTGGATGAAAAGTTTTTACGCTTGGATGCGGTGGTTTTTCAGCCGTAAGGAAATCGATCGCAAAATTAATAAAAACTTTTTTTCCCCCGTCACTTGCTGAACATCCTAACGGAGTCACTTTTTTCTGATTTCTTTTCCTTCATCACCATGTTTTATTAGTTTTGGCTTCACCAGCTGGGGAAGTGAATTCCTGCTGAAGTCGATGTTGCTATGATGATTGTGATATATTGTCCAGGCCTGATGTAAAGCCTGAACGCTTCAACAGAGCAGCTTTTATAGATTTGTTCTGGTTTGTGTAAGGAGGCCTGGGAGCGCTAGCCGGACCTGGACTGGCGAATCTGCTAGGCAGCGGCGGCCCGCCCGCCAGCAGCTCCTCATCCAGGTTAGACCTCACCTCTGCATCGTTACGACTTCCTCCTCTAGCGTGACGCTAACGCTCGGTCTCCATGCTAACCCAGCTCTAGAAGCCAAGCAGCCACGGCCACCTCTTCTTCATCTGCTGCAGCCCCCAGACTGAGCTCCACCCAGGCACCGGCCACGCCTACGCCTCCTGCCGCCTCCGTCCTGCCACGACTGCTGCTGCTGCCCCCACTACTCCAGGTACAACCGCCTTAGATTGTCTCACACTGCAGGTCTCGATGCTCAATTTTGATTATTTACATCGTCAAACTAATTAATCTGACTTCTGTGTGAACTGTTTTACGACCCCAGTGTATCTCTCTGTTTACCAAATTAATGGATGCCATCATCTATGGATTGATTTAAAATTTAAGTTGTTTTTCACGTGAAAGTCCAGTAGACTCGGTTCACTTGGGAACAAAACTGCAACATTTGCCGTGTTTTCTGTTTTAAATGGACTGTCTCTGTCCTGAACTCTACTGTTTTTTCCCCGTTTGCAGCTCCAGCTCAGGCCCCTGTGACGCCGGCCTCCGTTGGTAGTCCTACTCCTCACCAGCCCATCCAGCTCAGCGACCTGCAGAGCATCCTGGCCAACATGAACGTTCCTGCAGCTGCTGCAGCGCCGCAGGGATCTGCAGGTCAGCGGGTCGTCGGTTCGCTCTGCTGCTGCTGCAGGGAGACCGATGGCGCTCCAGCTAACGGTGTGGTTTGTCTCCTGCAGTGGATCTGGCGAGCGTTTGCACCCCGGAGATGATGGCTCCCATCCTGACCAACCCTGAAGTCCAGCAGAGGCTCCTCCCCTTCCTCCCCAGCGGAGAGAGCTTGCTGCAGAGCGCCGAGGAGATCCAGAACACCCTGAACTCGCCGCAGTTCCAGCAGGTAGAACCAGACCAGGACATGGACGGTTCTTCATCTGTTTGGTTTGGTTCTGACTCTGGTTTCTGTCTGACTTCAGTCCATGAGCATGTTCAGCAGCGCTTTGGCATCGGGGCAACTCGGCCCGCTGATGAATCAGTTCGGTCTCTCGGCTGAAGCTGTGGACGCTGCTAACAGGGGAGGTAGGATAAACACACTGCCTTACATCATGGAACGTTTTATTTTTCTAAATTTAACGCATTCATCCATCTATTTTTTTAGAAATCTGGTCTTTCTGCGTCTCAGACATGTTTTCTGTTTCCTCCTCAGACGTGGCGTTTGCCAGGGCCATGCAGGCCAGCAAAGGAGACTCCAAAGAGAAGAAAGATGATGAAGACATGAGTCTAGATTAGAGACCAGCCTGCCAAGTCCCACATCTCTCTACTTTTGTCTACTTTTCCTCCCACTTCAGCATTGTCTTAAATGTTTTTGTATACCAAAGGCAATGTTTCTACTCCATGTAGACGTCTCTCTTGCTGTGACCAAGCCTTAAGTTTTGCTTTCTGCTCTTGAAGTGCTGTTGGCTTTTTGGGACTAGATCTTTATTAAAATGCAAATTGAAAAACACTCAAACGTCTTAATTTTATGAAAAAGACTTTATTCAAACAAGTGAGGGCTGGGAGCGGCAGCTTATTCTTTGAGTTATTTTTAAAAATGTTAGCATACAAAAAAGCTTAATTTTCATGTTACATGGGTTCAAAAATAAAAGGGGTGCAGATAATGAGTTTGTTTAAAAAAAGTAACAGAATAATTATAGAGAAGGCGTAAGTTAAGATCAAAATTACTAGTTTGCAGAGATTTTTTTTTGACAAAAAAGAAAATTTTCTTACATTTACAAAAATATAACAGCTTATTTAACTTAGCTCAATTAAAAAAACAAATTTTCTATGTATTTCACCAGTTCATGAAGCCCTATTGTCATAAATATTAATATATGGAAGTTGCAACATAACACTTTCATGATGTATTGCAAAATTGGAGCATTGTTTTACATTTTAATTTTAACTCAGTGCATCTTTGTGAAACCAGTAATTACAGACATAGCACAAACGTGAAAATATAAAATATGCTTATTTTTCTCCCCCAAAGAATAAAATAAATATTAATATATATTTTAAATTAGCTACAGTAGCATGACACCCACCACCAGTATTTTGTGAAGGCTCTACATGTGAGGGCAGCCTCGGGTTCCGACGGCGCCGTGAACAGACAGCGGCTCAGACAACGGCACGGGGCGACGGTTGATGCCAACATGGCGGAAACAGCCGTGGAAAACGGGAAACCCGGTAGGATGGCTGGCCGTTGTGACGCCACCTGGCGGACAAAAGAAAGTTTACCCAGTGATTAGAGAAACAGGAGTGTGTGTTATTTCATTTTTGAAGTTGTTCCTTTGAGCAAAATAACTTTTTTAATGGTAAGAAGCAAAAGGAGGAGGAAAATCTGCCTAATAACCGTTAGAAGATTGCTTTTTTTGAAGCAGGGGACCCAACCACTCAAAGCAACACGATCTTTGTAAATACTTTAAGGTGCAGTCCCTCTTTTTTAGCTAATTGTTGCTGCCGCTAGTCTGAAGGAGCTGAGCATGAAGATGTGGGGAGGTGTATGAATTTAGATTTTTTAAAATCCCAGCCACAGAAATAAATATTCATTATGTGTGAGCATTAGCAGACACTCTGTAAAGACCAAGAGGAAACTGCAGAGAACTGTGATATTGTACTCACTCGGTGCTCCTCCAAGGTACACGGTAGCTTTGGTCCCTGCAGAACGGTTCTGTTTGGGCCTGCGCTCTGCTTGGCGGTGACATCCACAACCAACTTCAGAACGTTGTTCCTCTTCTCCACTGGAAGAACACATCAGCATTAACAGAGCGGCCGTGTCTGGGGAAGACGTCTGGTTTCTGTAAACCCACCTTTGATTGTGTGCCAGCGTCTGTTACACAGAGGCTCTTCAGGCATTAGCGAGGTAGAGAATTCACCTTTGCCACTGATTACCAAAACAGTCACCTGGACACAAAAACGTCTTCCTCAGTTTTGGTTTTAGGATTTCTTGAACTTCCTCCTGCTGTTTCTCTTCTGCCTAGTGAAACCTTAACCCACCTCTCCCTGGCTTAGGAACAAGCTCAGGTATTGGTCAGATGAAGTTCCGGCGTACAACAGCAGCCCAGAGTCTGAAGCGGGTCGAACTTCCAGCTGGATGTCTAGGTCCCGACCCAGAACCAGAGAGTCATCTGCCAGGAGGCGGAGACACGTCAGTCGGTGCATGCTCTGAGCAAAAAGGTTTCAAACGGCTGAAACCAGGAAAAGAGGGTAGCTACCGATCTTCAGGTGTCCGCCCTGTTTGGAGAAGTAGACTCCAGGTTGTAGAGGGTTCTGGAAGCACGGAACCGCCCCCTGGCTGAACGATGGGCTTCCTGCAGGAAATGCGTTCAGCTTCAGGTCCTTGACGCATCCGATGAAACCGTCAAAACGTTTCGGCTGGAGACACAAACAGTGAGAATGATGTCTGATGAACCTTTTTACTTTATTTCTGTCTCAAACTTAAGATAATCAGAACATAGCCAGTAATCCTCAGTGGGATTTAAACTCTCATGGTCTTTTTTACCCCATCAGTTTTTTTTTACTCTGCGCACGGTCCACCAGAGTCTCATTGACCCCGTGTGCGCTTGGTTCCGGAAACTGATGGTCTGTTGTCTGTTTGTCACACTAAAACTGCGGAAAAGTTAAAGAAGAGCTATTGTTTGGTTCATTGTCCTGTTGGTGACCCAGTTAGGGTCGGACAAAAGGCCTCACGCTTGACTCTGGAATATGTAAACCTGACCCGGTTTCTAAGGGTGTTTGCAGACCTGACAGTCCAGTAGACTCAGTTCATTGCAACATTTGTTGCATTTTCACATTTTGCGCCGTGACAAATGATCCAGACCCTTTGAGCAACCTGTTCCCCTCCTCGCCTGTGGCGGCGCTGCACCAAGAACCATCGAAGGAAACAACAAAAAAACCTCTGAAGAAGACAATGAGCGCAACTTTATTCTTCACAAAACGTGAAAAAATGGAATGGTTTCAGATTTTCACTGTTGTAGGATTTCTCTTTAGTCGTTGGCTAAAGACCTCGAGCCATTTTTCCTGCTACCTTGTATTTACCCATAATGCCCTGTGTTGTAGACACGTCCTGCTTTAGGAGCGGTCTCCAGTCCGCTTGGCGTTCACATATGCATTTGAACAGAACTAGAGTTCACTTCAACCAAACAGATTTGCAGGTGAACCAGAGTTTGCCTTTTTGGTCCAATTTTGCATTCAGTTCTTCCCAAATGAACTGAACTTTATGTGCTGACAAACTGGAGTGAAAATGGACTCAACCAGGCTGGGGTGAAAGCACCTTAATGCAGATAACTTAAACTGGTAAAATGAAAAGGTCCTTTTTTGGAAAAAATACAATTCCTGAAACAGACATTTCACCGTACTTTGACTCCACCAGACATGGAAAGTAATAAAATAACGTTTAATACTTTAACATATCCTGAGTGGTGAAAGTTAGCTGTGTGAGTTTTGAAATCAGTGAACCTTGACTGAAGCCGGGACTCCTCCGATGAATAACGGTCCACTGATCCGGATCTTTCCGGCTCCGGCTATCTTCTTAGCTCGGCTGCTGATTCCATCCACCGTCAGACTGATTTTATTCCCTTCATGCTTAATGAAAACCTGCGACAGAGAAACATCTGGTGAGCCCATTTCTGAAGCGATACTTTCATGATTTTCCCTAATAATGCGATCGACGAGTTCAGGGGTTTTCAAGCTGCTAGTGGCTCTTAATAACTTTGGATAAAAATCAAAAAGAACCAGCTGATGTTTTTAAATGTACAACTTGTGTTTGTTAAAATGTCTTACCAGTTTTATTTATTTCTACAATAAATAACAACGCTAAAAGTATTAGCAATGGGTTTTTAAATGAATTTTTCTTGTCTTTGTGTTGGAATCTATTTTTATGCATGCTTTATAAAAAGTGTACCAACTTTCTGGAAGTATTTTGAAGTATGTAAAAAAGTAACCTGGTTTAATGTAGTTATTTGTATTTTTAAGTACATATCTTGCAAGGAAGACCTTACCGGGTGCCACCGCTCGTCGTCGTATTTGTTCAAACTCCGCACTTTGACATTATTCCTGGCTGACTCCACTGAGAGGATCAGGTGACCTTTGAGGACGCTGAGCAACATGGCCGCTCCGCCATGCTGCCTGCCGGCTGCGTACAGAACGCAGCCGTCAGAGGAGTTGATCTTCACCTCCAGCGACAGATGAGAACTGAGGAAAAATCAGTTTAATTAGTGAGTATTTAGGGCCTTTTAATCCCTTTTAAGAGTATTTTTACTACACTGTACTTCTGTTACTTTAGTTAGTTTATTATGAAGTGAAACAAACATGTTTTAACCAAAGATTCACCAGAAAACACACACACAGTTTTGGTTAAAGTTTCATCAAATTTTTTTATTCAAAGAAACTGATTTGAAAAAAAACTTCTATTTTCTGATTTTATTTTTTGTTACTTATGTGAATTACTGTTATTTTCCATCTTAAAATACCAAAATTTCCACATAACTTTGTATTTCCATCTGTCTGATTACGTAATTTTATAATATTAAAGAATTGATCATTTGACCAGTTACTCAGTTGCAGACTTTTTTTTACTCTTTCTTGGACGACTACTTTCTATTTTTACTTGAGTATAATTTTTCCGTACTCTGCTCAGTATGTAGGAGTAAATTTCTGCCAAAAGTTCAGATTTTGAATTTTGTCATAAATTTTCTAAAGAACGATTTATCAAAAAATTTTACAATTTGCAAGAAAAAACATGCAAATGTTTTTCCTTTCATTAGAAAAAAATCTAATCAGAATTAGTCTCAAAATTTCTGTTTTTCCTGCAAAATTTTCACTTTTGAACCAAAGAAATTTCAAAGTATTTTTTTCTAAAAAAATTCCTGAAATTTCACACTTACATGGATCTGACCACTGGATCAAATTTCTGGTAGCTGTGGGCGGAGCCGCTGAAGTGCGTCGCTCTGGTGCGACAGCTCCCCCTGGCAGGACTCCCTGGTACTGCGGCTGCGAGATCTCGACGGCTTCTTTTGGTTCCCCTGAGACAGAATGTATACCGTTTCTTAAAGCGGCGGTTCCTTTTTACCTGGAGGAGCAGAGCGATCGTGTTTTGCTCTACCTTTTGTTTGCGTCTCGGCTCCTCTGCGATGATCTGCTGAGGTTTTTTAGCTGCTGGACACGTCAGAACAGCGTTTTTGTTTTCGTTCACCTTCACCAGGTTCTCCACCATTGATCACCTTCCCTCCTGAAGGCAAGAATCACGCACACATTTCACCTTTTGGTTCTGCAGGCCGTCATCCTACTTACATGCTAAGGCAGCAATTTTGCAGTTTGGCAGGCTGTGTTATCATAAAATCGGTTTTGTCCAACTGTCCATAACTACATTATGGATATCTAAAAAATAATCTAACTAGACAAAACTACATTTTGACAATTCATAATGATAAGAAATCTGCATCCCGACGAATGAGAATAATAATTCAATATGTTCAATTATATTTTGACAAGTCAAAATTCAATTCAAATTTAGAAATACTTTATTGATTCCAATTGGAAATTAAACAAATTAATTTAATGCATACAATTGAACACCACTTCAGAAATCTGTTAATTCACTTCCAACAATATCTCAAATATCTGGAATTAAACTGGTAAAACTGTTTTTATGTTTAAACAGCCTGCCATATTCACTCAAAATCAAAAGCTGTAGGGCTTTTCTAACCTCTTTATGATGACATTGCTGATGCATCCTGTGAGGTTGTCGGCGGTTTGCTGAGGTAATCCTCCCAGGAAGGTGACGTCCTCAGGACCCGTGTAAGCGGGCGGCTTCGTGTTCATCTTAACGGCATTCCTCTCCACTACATCGTCCATTAAAAGATAAAACCTGCGGAAGCCGACAGTCAGCAAACACTTGTAACAACAAAACAGCTTCAGATTTAGATTCACAAGTCTTTAAGGAACAAGTCCAAGTCAAATTACTAACAACTAAAATGTTTTTGTGTCTTCTAGGTCAAATTGCATGATTTCAGGTTTGGACTGTTTGTCCTCAGACTTAAGTTATTACATTAGCATAAAAAAAAAAAAAACACCTTTAACCAGTCAGGTTTATTTGTGCAGCACACTTCAGTAAACAAGCAGTTCAAAGTGCTTCACATCATAAAACCATGGGGAAACCATTAACAATATCAAGTACCGCCATCAACATCAATACATCAAATATGTTTATCAATGTTCAGTTTATTGCGGTCCAAAAGTAACTTATTCAGCGTTTTCTTTCACCATCCAAAAAACCTCTGAAGGCTGCTTCATATTATTTAAAGCACTTATGAAGTACAATGTAAGTATTTATGCTTATATTAAAATAGAACAAGATTTAAATTAGTTAATGCTGAATTTCTTCACCAGTAAAAACTACAAAAATTGCTAAATGCGGTAAAACGGGTAAAAGAAGGGGCTGTGGAGCTAAAACATAAAGGAATTAAAACAAAAGCACCTCTTCATATAGTCCATAAATTACTGATTTAAATGTGAAAAGAAAATATTTAAAATCATGTCCACTGAGGACACGTCCAGCCCAAAGTGTCTGGTAATGTTGGCAGGAAGAGAACGTCGGTTTATACTAACACCCATAATTCCACCGCATCTTTTCACAGGAAAACATTACAGCAGATGTAGTCTGTAAACCGGCATCCTTTCACTCTTTAGTACAAGAGATTAAAAATGGCTCTAGGACTCAAGTCAAGTCTGAAGACGTATTTTTGCAACATTAGGATAATAAAAACCATCTCTGGCCGACTTACCCACTGCGGCTAATGTAGAACGCAACGTTGTGGCTGTTGTTGTCGTTGTACGTCTTCTGAGTCTTAACCTCTGAGTTGTTCACCCTCAACACAACGTTGCCCTTCTGCAAAGAGACTTGGCAGATTCCGTCCTGCAGCCACGGATGGAAAACAGTTTCTGAGTTAATAGAAAGGAGAAGCAGGAAAGACCATGGGAATCAAAGTTTCTTTTCTGACCTGATCTTTATGGAAAAACATGAGTCCGTTTTTTCTGATCAGTTCTAAAGCTGAAGCTGGCGTAGAATTTGTCATTCTGACTGCTAACGTCTTTTGGGGCTATCTTTATGTAGCTCTCCCCGCTGAAGTGAGCTTCCCGAGCGATCTGCACAAACACAACATTTGAACAAACAGTCCTCCTCTGCTTCAGCAAACCAGTTCAGTGTTCACACGAGCAAAGCAAAAAAGCAAAAAGGAAAAGAATTAACAGTCATTTCTGTTCAGTTCACTGCAGGTAATTCCAGTTACACCTATTTTAGAGTTGCTAATTAGCTCATTTAAACATCTGCTAATCTTCTGATAATTTGTCAGAGTTGGTGTTTTTTATGTTGTAACTGTACTGAAACACACAGAAATTCACAGCACATCTACATGTTATATTTGTCATAGTCAAGCTAGCATGACCTCTGTCCCTCTCCCTTCCTACTTTTTTCTTAATGAAAGCTTTTTCTTGACCTTGTCATCTAGTAGTCATAGTGTTGAATATTAGCAACAAAGCAATGCATCCCTTTTCCTTTGATATATATCATGCACACATTTAAGATTTAGAGCAGCAGAGTGATTCCCACATTCCAAGCTGCTCTACATGATATGGTGACCAAATAGCTCCCTGTGCATAAGCATCACTTCGGGTGTCATTGTCTCCCTTCACTCCCAGATGGGAGAAACAAGCTTAGCTAGTTGGGTACCACTGAGTTAGAGCATTATATTAATAACATCACAGCTAAAACCAATGCTAGTCATTGTCATGTAGCAAATGAAGCTACATAGGGTTAGGGTTAGTGCTGCCTCTGGTCTCAAGTGCATTGATGGTGGTGGCATCATTTTAGCTCCGTAGGTTTGAGTAAGTGTGCTCTTTTACCAGCAGGTTGCTGTTACAGCCAGAACTGACTCCAGAGGCTTTTACTGTCTTCATGTTGACATGATTTCCGGTGTTCTTCAGGTTCTTGATGCAGGCCTTCACAGAGTTACGCGCTGAAAACAGCTGCTTAAACTGGGAGACAGAAAAAGACAGCAGCTTAAAATCCACATCTTTAGCTGTGCTATTATTACTATTATTATTGTTATTATTATTATTTAATATTCAGTCACTCCATCTTTGTTCTTTTTGTTGGTTCTGATCCATAATCAATTGGTAAAATAATAAATAAGTTTTTTGTAGCTTGTAGAAAAAATAAGCTCATCATGATTTGATCTTACCAAGTATTTTTGTCCAGTCACTTGAAAAAAGACAAAACTAACGTACAATAAACGTTTCAGCAATAAATCTGGCCTTGTTTTGCTCTTTCCTTTGGTTTGTTGTTGTATTTCTTTCTAATTAATGTAAAGCACTTTAAAATTGCCTGGTTGCTGAAAATGTGCTGTTCAAATAAAGTCATGTTTCATCACCTTAATGTCTGGTGCAATTGGCTGATTATTTCACTTATAACATGGGGAAAATGTGTTATAAATTAAATAATCTGCCAGTCAAACTAGCACTTTTTTGTATTAATATGAAGAAATAATTTATTTAAAACAAGCTCCAATATCTTGCTCAAAAGTCACTTGTAAGTTAGTTTTGTCTCATTTCAAATATTTGTTCAGAAACGAGGTCAAAAATGCTTGGTAAGATTTTGTTTGTGTTTTTGCACCACAGCGTCAACTGAACATTGTCAACAAGAACAAAAACAAAAACGTTTAGGGTTAGGGTTAGTGCTGCCTCTGGTCCTTACAGTGAAAAAAAGCAAAAACGTTTTTCTCTGCCCACCAGAGGCAACAAAACTTAAAACACTGATAGTTTACAGTCTGTAAAAGCAACATGATCATGGATACCATTCAATCCCTACTGACAAACATATAAAAAGATGCTTTCATGTGGCTCCACTCACCTTTCAGGCATCTCCTCCTCTGGCGCTCCTCCCAGATAATATTTACCACTGAAATCTGGTAAATCTTCTGTTAAAATTAGTGTAAAAACAGCGACATTGCTCTTCTGTATTGTGATCTTTTTTAACTTGTTAACAAACATGATCTTCAGCTGGAAAACAATAAAAAGAGGAAAATGAATTTACAGTTTAATGACTGAGAAGATTATGATACAGTAAATATGCTGCAGCAGAATTAACAGCTCATTAAAATACAAGTTGAACCTAAAACTGATGGCAAATATGTAAAATCACTTATAATACTGTAATGTATGTTCATTTGAGATATGGTTTTTGTTGATAATTGGCAAATGTTAACAGAATAATAGCTTTCATTTCTAAATGGACATAAGCACCAACCCCTCACCACCCTGCAAAGAACATTATCAGTGTGCATCCCCAGTTTCTACTGCTTCCCAAGCTCTAAATTACACCACCCAGCTGTGATTTGGTAATAAATTAATGATTTTTGGCATCTGAAAAACAAGCCAATTCAAAAACCTCCCAATTGTTGAGTCACATTGGACGAGCACTGCGCTGTTTCCTGGCAGGCCTGATATTCTTAATGTATGAGAAAAGTATGAAAATATGTTCAATATTCTGGCTATTAGAAACGACACAGTTGTACTGAAGCAAAAACTCTACAGTGTTGTGTTCAACGCGATCCTGCTTACTTTTTCATTAATATTCAGGAATTATTGACTTAAAACAAGCTGCTATTTCCTGCTGAAAAGTTACTTTTAAGTTAGTTTTATCTTAATTCAAGTATACTGAGATTGCAAACAATCAAAATTTTCTATGCTTACAAAATAAAATTGAAGCTTTTTCTTGGTAATATTTGATTTTCAGATTTCTTACATTTTGAAGAAAGGTAAGAAATGTGTAACCTGACAAGGGCGCAGTAGAAACTAGACCAAAATTACGCGACAAGATTTTGTTTTTGCAGTGAGAATTTGCTGCCTTTATTCCTAAATAGGAGCCAAACGATGGGAAGTCAGAGGGTTACCAACTGCAGCTTCATATCCAAAACTTAAGATAAACAGAAGATAAAAACATGTCCGACTCACAAGCCTCAACTCTCCATCACTAATCTTCAGCAGATTGAAATCGTTGGTGTCAGGCGGATGATCGATCAAAGTACCGTTGAAATCATAATAAAGGCGGAGCTGTCCCTGAAGAACGGCCAGGCACAAAAACTTCTCCTGATGCACACGAGAGAAAGCAGTGAGTACCTCTGAAGAACGACATCAATGAACAGATAACAGAGTGTTGTAATCAATTGAAATGGGTCTTTGCCTCCTTTTTGAGAAAGACTAGTATTCCTTTGTGTGACAGGAGTTTGATGTCCTGGTCAATTGCCATCACTGGACGTAAATAACTGGAAGTAAAGTTGATCTCAGCAAAGCCGGTTCCATCGAAATATTCCCCGTCATCCACCGAAGACCTGTGATAAGAAATTTGATTCAGCAAGCATATTTAGAATAATAACAATAACAAAGATGACACTACTGTGGAGGAGTGCTTTGGAGCAAAAAGGTCTTCGGTTCAAGTCTTACAATGGGGTTTCTGTATGGATGTGGAGTGGCTAGTAAAAATATTCATATCCTGTAAGCTTTTGTCACATTACAACCATTAGCATAAATATATTTCATTGAAATTTTATGTGAAAAACTAATACAAAGTGGCATTGACCCTTGGCCTGTGATGTCACAACATATTTTTTCCAGTATAACCTGTTAGAAAACATCCATCTGTTACCCTAATGTTGCTTTTATTTAGTTGATTTCACTTTATAAACCTATAGATGAGGATACAAGCAAAACTTGTCATTTTATTGTGTAATTTTTAACGAGGAAAGATTTGGCCATGATGGATATAGCAGCGAACACTTTACTGGCTTGTGAAAATCTTCTCAATTGGGATTCGGTCTGGACTTTGACTATGCCATTCTAACAAAAATGTTTTGTTTTAAACCATCCCATTGGAAAGCAAACGGAAAAAACTTATGCTGCTAAGTACAGAATGAAGCAAGCATGTGGTCTGACCTGCTGCACGGTTTCTCTGTTTTAGTGTTGAGGTTGAAGGCTTTTTCAAAGTTATACAGACTGACTACTTTCTGGTTCAGCGACTCCAGTTGAATGCAGCCCTCAAATCCAGTTGAATTGTTAAACGGGTCGGGAAGCTGAAAGAAAGAAAATAAGAACAAATTTATTCATTTTTGTAAAACAAATTATAAGCACATAAAGAAACATCAAGTTTATTTGTGCAAACAAAATTTTCTATGCTTACAAAATAAAATTGAAGCTTTTTCTTGGTAATTTTTGATTTTCAGATTTCTTACATTTTGAAGAAAGGTAAGAAATGTGTAACCTGACAAGGGCGCCACTGGGCCCGCCTTTGCTCACCTGGAAAGAATCTGGGGGTCCGCCAACATAGAAGACTGTGTTGTTGGCTTGGAGGTTGAGCAGGCCCATGTCACCTTTGCCCTCCCCTTCTGCCTTGAAGATCTTTTCGTCATCATTCAAGAAATAAGACATGGACATTTGACCGTACTGGAGCATCCTACATGAAAACAGACAAAGCAGTTACAAGCATTAACTATGCAGTTTAAAGCCAAATTTATTTTTAAAAAATATCTTTCATTCAGCGTTGACAGGGAAAACAGGCAAAAGTGGCAGGTAGAGCAAAGTACCTACTGCAAATATTTTGCAGCATTTTTCAAAATTTCAAAGATTTTAAAGGGTAGAATTTCTTTGATAATTGTCCATAAGTAAATTATCAATCTCATTTTAATTTATCACAACATTGATTGGTAACGTGTTGGTGAAATGTGCTTTATAAATAAACTGGAGTTCTTTCTCTGACAAAAAAACTTTTTGAAGTTTGTCAAAGTCATTTGACTTTGACTTTGTGTCATTTGATAGTTATAAATCTAAGGGGGGGGGAAACATCTCATATGTGGTTCCTCAGGGCTCCATTCTCAGTCCACATATATTCAGTATCTGCATGCTTACAGTTTCTGAAACACCCACCATTCAGTGGTGTGATCAGCTTTTCCCCTCCTTGATCTTTTATTTTGTGCATGTTTGTCACCATAAAGCATTTCAGAACGTCAAAGCAATTTAAATATTAGTCAAAGTCAACACAAGTAAACACAAAATTAGTTTTTAGGTGTACAGAAAAAATGGAGAAAAAACTGAAACCTGGGAGAGGGTTATTGATTAATCGGCTATCCGATTAATCAATTACTGGAGTAATTGATTAATGCAGCCTGACTATAAATGATTGTTAGAAAAGGTCAAAACTCTTACCTATCCAACAAAACTCCATTAAATGTTCCATCAGTTCGGGCATCGTGAGACGACGTCACCTTTATAGTTTCTTCTCCAACATTGAAATACCAGCTCAGTATCTTCCCCTCCAACACCAGGCCTAAAAACTCCTTATCAGACTACAAATACGACAGACATAATTATAGAAAACATGAATTTGTCCCTTTAGCCATAACATGTCTGTTGTAGGACGTACATTATTGTTGCCGAGGAAGAAGACAAACTGTGGTTTCGAATCAGAGGTGGAACGTTTTCTCTTCGTTAGTGGCTTTGGGCTGATGAACAGCTTCATGGAGGTGTATGCAGCCAGGTCCGCCAGGTCAGAAGGAGTACGCACCTGAACGGCTGACTTCCCGTTGAACTTCATGGACACGCTCACCTGGAGGGGAAACAGCCGGTCGCATTTGGAATCAAGTCCAGACCAATGAACTTTAAAGAAATGTGTAAATACTTTGAGTTTTGGACAGAAAAGTGCACCTTGTTGACGGTGCTGCGCGCCTCCTGAATGAGCTGCCTGATCCGGTTGATGTTCTCAGAGATGTTTGGCATTTGGACGGAATAATTCTGCAGATCGTCAAGTTTCTTCAGCAACGTCGGGATGTTTTCTTCCAGCTTTTGAACTAAGAATGAAAAAACATTATTTGAGATAATGTAAGTTTTAGAGGTATTTGTTTAATAAAATTAAAATCAGCAATTTGTCTAGAAGTAGTTGATTGTTAGATTTCTTGTGTTTGCATGGGACTAAACCGATTAATTGGATTAATTACATGCCGCAAGTATTTAGCTGCAGATGCATTCACTGAAGGAATGTTGTTTTTGCTATTTAGGCAATAAAATGTTTATTTTATTATTTAAAAAAAAACTGTAAACATTTTTTTCATATTTTAATTTATTTGTAAGTTAATTGGGTTGTTTTTTATCAGATTGATTAATAGTCAAAATAATAACTACCTTTGTAATCAATAGAATAATCAATTACAAACATAATATTCAGTTGCAGCTTTAGTTTTGTTTCCTTACTTAATCATCTTATTACTGACAGGTTATTTACTGAATCTGTAACTGCGTAGGGGCTGGGTACAATATTTACATTTCTATTGAAGCCTAAATCATTTTGACATTTTAAGAATACCTTTTTTTATTAAAGGATTCATTTTCCTTTTTATTAAATATTCAATAATGGCTCATTAATTGAAACAATTTAAACAGTAAAAACAGTAAAAGCCCAAATAAACATTCTACTGAAAAGGAAAATTGATACAAAAAATACTGCTGGTAATTCTAGTGTGATTCTGTTATGATAATTTAATGCTATTAGGCAATAAAAAAGTAGTAAAACTGCTGTTTAGTTTATTATATCTACCTTCAAAAATATTAGTTGGTTCTTTGTCATTTTTAGGCACAATTATTAAAAGTAATTGTGAACGAGTTGAAGAGCAATTTGGGTAGCTCCATTTGCCATTTCCGATTTATGGAAAGGGGGAAAAAAAACTAAAATCAAGTGCGGTAGTATTCCCACCCGTTTCGCTGGCGTTGATCAGGGCCTTGTTGATGTCATCGCTCGTGGTGTTAGTGTCACCGTAAGCTTGTTGCCACTGGTCCAGTTGCTTTTTAATGGGGAGCAACATGTTGTTGACGTCAGTGGCTGTGATGTTTGCTTTACCTGCCACAGTTTTTGCTTCATTGATCTCCTGAGTCGCATCTGCAATTTAATAAAACAAAAAGCAAATAAAAAGCAGGTGTGTACAGAGCAATTTAATACTGAAACATTACATTAATTGGTGATCATGTAAAGTTTAAAAACAATATTAAAAAATCTATAATATGCAAATTGATGAGATAAGTGAATTTATACATTAAGTGAAGATTTACTGTTGGTATTTAAATTATCTCAGAAATAAATGATTAATAGTTAAATGGAAATCTATTTGCTGAAAGAACATACTAAGAACACATTAATTAAGCCAAAACTGAAACAAAAATATATCAGATTAAGCACATTTTGCTTTAAATTATTATTTTGTTAATCCAATAAATAATCAATAAATAGTTATTTTTCACATCAAACTTTCTAAGAATAACCTGAAGAGCCCATTTGATTCATATTTAACCTGCTGTCATCCAGTCACAGAGCTTTTCCAATGCATGAGTCTTGATTTAATCTTTGTAATTCAAGTGCTTACTTGAGGTGGAATTGAGGCTTTTCTGAATTTCTGCCAAATCCTTCATGGCTTGATCATGTTTGGCCTTGGCTAAGTTCAGCCGTTTCTGAGCTTCTTCCAGCTCTCCCTTCAGGGCTGCAAGTGGGAAACAGACACTTCAGATTCTAAAAACTGGGCCATAATTTAAAGCAGAAGATGAAAATATATTTAATTTTGATTAAAAGACACTGTACTTACTGTTGTTGAGTTCATCGTTCATCTGTTGGACTTCTCCATGTAGTTCTATGCTGTGGTTCTTCAGAGCGCTTGCAGACTTTCCAAGGTCCTGGTTCTTTATATTCTGAAAGTATTTAAAGCAAAACTAGATATTAAAAACAACAAAAAAAGATTTAGATAATTTTAAAAAGATCGCGTGTATTTGTGTGTGTGTGTGTGTGTGTGTGTGTGTGTGTGTGTGTGTACTTGTTATGCTGCATTTTTAGGACCTTTATGGTATAGTCAATCACCATCTAAAGACCAGCTGGTCTTATGGGAACCAACATGGAGAAAAATAAAAGTGTGTGTGTATGTGTGTGTGTGTGTGTGTGTGTGTGTGTGTGTGTACCTCTAATGTGTCATTTGCAGCCTTCTCAGCCATTTTCGCAGCATGTTCTGCTGCAGTGATGTTATTGACAACATTGTTGTAGGCTTTTGTTAAATCCACAGACGGATCCTTCTTGGTCTCAGCGATCAAACTGTAGCAGCAACACATCACAGATCAACGTTGTTTTATTGGAACCATTCATGAATTTTCTGTCTAACAGGGACACACAGAAGATCCCTACCTGGTCAAGTTCATGGCTAAGGCATTGAGCAGCTCAGCGTGTTTCTCTGCCTTCTCCACTAAGGGGATTAAGTCGTTGGTTGCAGCAAATGTTTGCACCTTCTTTGCCAAAGGTGACCAGGCGCCATCGAGCTGTGCTGCCAGATGTTCATATTCCTGACAGATACATTTTAGAGGGATAGATTCAGGGTCTGCTTCAGGTAATCAACATCACTAACTAACAAGCAGTTTGGAACCAAGAAAGATCGATCCAATGTTAAGGATGTAGGATAATGAGTATACAGCAGAAGGAAGGAAATGGCATGAAAAGCGCTGAAGAAGACACTGAGTGCAACTTTATTCTTCAAAAAAGTAAACAAAACTGGAGCAGCATCAGATTGCAGCGGTTGTTTCTCTTTTGTCTTTGGTTAAAGACCACAAGTCATATCTCCTGCTAGCGCTACACAAACACATTTGTTTTGGTTACATTTACCCAGAATGCCTTGCATTATAGTCCACTTCCTGCTTTTGGAGCAATCTCCAGTTTCTCTTGGTGCTCGGATATGCATTTGAATCAGACCAGTGTTCACATCAACCAAAATGTGACTGAGGTTCACAGGCAGACTGGACTTCACTTCTTTGGACCAGTTATGCATCCACACCATCCCAAATTAACCAGACTTTCTAGGCAGTATCCAGTCCGGAATCCTTAGTACCACTTTTGAAATGCTAGCTCTGCACAATTGCAATATATGCTAAATGAAATGAATGTAAACATTTTCAGAGTTCGAAAACCTGAGTTTTATTTGCACTGAACATAATATTTCTGAATCTTGACTACAAATAGCCAATTACATGAGGCCCCCTCATACATAACTACTAAATATTTATGTATTTTGATTTGTTCCTACCTCTTTTGACTCCTGCAGCATTTGAACCACAGTGTTGACTTGTGTGACATCAGCGACAGCCATTTCTAGCGTGTCGTTCACTTCCTTCTGCTTCATTAACAAGTCTTCGATCTTCCTCTGAGGGAAACAGAGACAGCGGACATCAGATGCATTCACACACACTCACACACAGGCTTTGTTTCATCAGATTTCTCACGTTGTTTTCCTCCAGAGTTTTCTCGTTGATGCTGTTGAGCTCCGCAGCTCTGGCAGTGTTGTTCACAGCTTCGTTCAGAGCGTCTCGCAGGTTTATCATTTCAGAGGTGAAGCGCTGCAAACGGTCCCTGATGGCCTTCGTCAAGTTAACATTTTCCTGCTGACGGTTTTCCAGCTCCTTGATGACACGATCCAATACTAACACATACATACGGAGGGATTTACTGGACATTTTGTGATAATTTCCACAATATTTTAGCTCAAAATGATCAGCTGAAGGTATTAATCGAGTTAATTGCGATTAATTGATTCTTGAAGTAATTGCAAACTATTTTAGTAACAGATTAATTGTTAACTGGAGTATACAGACTCCAAAAAAGGCACTTTGCTAAAACTTCCCCTCAAAAAACAGCATATTCAGAACAGTAACTTACATTTCTCTGTTTCGTTTTTCTCCTTGTCTGCCAGTTTCTTCTGACCCACACAGCTCCTGAACCTCATTTCCCTCAGAATGGCCTGAACCTCCCTGATCTTCGCCTCCTGCCCCTCCACATCCTGATCGTCCTCCGTTTCGTTTTGGGACTGGTTCGCCATGTGCAGCGTCGCTGCAGACAGAAGCAGACGATCATCAAACAGTCCGCCATCTGCGGCTGTGTTTTGGGGGTAAACAGGCGTTTCTCTCACCGTTTATGTCCAGGCTGATGTTGTTGATGAATCTCAGCAGATCTTCTGCCCTGTTGTGGGTTTGGGAGGTGCTGTCATCTAGCAGACCGACCCGGCCTGTCATTACACCTGACTGAAAACACCACAGGATTTTATGACTGTGAATTAGGGCCGTTATAGATAGAAAAAAAAAACAATGAACAGGAGTACATTTCTGCTAAAAACAAACTGCCAAAATTTTTAGATTTTATTCTGACTTTTTTTTTTTAATTTTCTGAGTTTCAAAACTTTTCAAACCCTTGTTTTTTTCTAGAAAATCTAAAAATTTCTCACTTTTCTTGACATAATAGCAGCGTAAAGAAACAGTTATAATTTCTGTTATAAAACATATCTTTGTAATTATCTAATGGAAACTTACAATAAAAATAAAATACAAAACATTGACTTATAATTTAAGCCATATTGATTGAACAAGAGGCTTGCATATGTGCGTTTCTGACCTTTCTGTGCAAGTCGTCAATGTCAGCTGTGATGGTCGCGATGTCCATGTCCAGCATGTCGGCCCGAATCCTGCTTTCGTCCAGCGTGTTGTTGTAGCTCTCAATGGCGCGCTGGAATCCAGATATTTAAATTAAACACCAAAAATAGACAGACCTGTTCATTTGGTGAAGATGTATTGATCTCACACTGAGCATGTTGCAACAAGCCAACCTTTAATTGGGAACCTTATTAAGAGTCCAGCTTCATGAACTGATTTAAAATCAGTAACATAAAAAAAACCTAATACACTACCATAAATTACGATAAATTATAGATTAATAGTTTATTACATTAAAATTAGTTATGAAATTAGTTACGATCGATTAACTAAGAACGTCTGCTTAGACCGTCTTTTAATGTTGCAGTTTGGTCTCCATCCAGCAGAGGGCGCTGCTGGTCATCCTTAAACTGAGCTAGATTATAACAGGATTAAAGATGGCGGCCTTACCAGAACAAGAAAGAGAAACGACCCAAACAGATGAATGAAAAATGCACTTCTTGCAGTTTTGTTTTGCAATATAAACACTAAACAAGCTCCTTAAATTATCACCTGCACGACGGAGCAGCGTCAACTTCTCAACCAAAAATGACTGAATTGCTACAAAGATGAGGATGTGATGATGACACAAGAAAATTGCCGCTAAGTACAGTTGATTTTGAGGGCTTTCCAAGTTTAACAATATGAGAAAAATAAAATTTTCTGTTTATTCAGCCAGAATAAAAGTCATAAAACAATTCCCTCAAAGTCTGGAGACATTTTACCCAGAATGCATGTTTGGTGTGGTAGCAATATATGATTCCGGTTGTTACTTAGTATCTTGTTTTTCATTCAGCTCCATCGTGCAACACACCAAACACGCATGGTGTGTTTAAACTCACAGCGACGTCCTGCATGGACGTGTTGAGGCTGACCAGCTGACCCCAGGCCATCGAGCTGGCGTTGAGGTTCCTCAGCTGCTGCGACACGGAGCTGAAGTCGCCGTCCAATCTCTCCAGATCTTCCAGCAGCACGATGACGCAGCTGTCACACACTGAGTGTCCACGCACACACCCACAGGGCACCGTCCGTCAGTGATTAATCCTCCGGTTTCCGTTCTCGGTCTGCAGGTTTGTGCGATTTACTTACCTTCGCAGTGCATGCCGTGCCGGTCCTCCACAGGGACGCTGTACCTTTCCAAGCAGGCGTCACACTGTCTTCCCGTCATCCCGTCTGGACAGTGGCACTCACCGGTCCGGGGGTCACAGCGACCTCCATTACAGTCGCACCCTGAAATGACCCACAGAGCAGTCCAATCAGCCCATCAAGTTTAAACACATTTTGTCATAAACAAAACAAAAATCGACAATTGAAGCGTTACGTTTGGCGTAATGCCGTCATCAAAAGCAGCTCTAAAGAGCTGCTGCTCGTCTAGATTTAGAGGAACTCAGAGTTTCAGCTGTTTTGCAGTTTTCTGGAAGTTTGTGTTGCATAGAAGCTGAATGCTGCTTCTCCATGTTTGGTTCTGGATGCAGAGCAAACCAGAACCAGAAGTACCTAGTACAAACACAACAATGTTTGTGATAAAGTGGAATAAAATGGCCAAAGCCAAAGCACTCCTAAAGTTCAGTCAGAAAACAGTGATGTGTAACGTTAGCGTGTGTACACCACTCTTGCAGCCGTCCGGTCCGTAGTCCCAGTGGAGCGCACTGCCTGCAGTTCGGTCCGTTGACCCCAGGCTGGCAGGCGCACTGACCGCTCTGAGGATTACACGGCTGGACGAGCGCCGCCGAGGCCTCGCACTCACACTGACGACAGCCGGAGCACGAGTTGAAGCCGAACGACCCGTCCTTAGAACAACAAGACAACCAGATGGAAAGTTACACAAACCTTTCCCTTTCTGAACAAGACACAACAAAAGACAGATATTTTGTCTAATTTCTTGTGCAAACATGTTATCACTCTTGAAATCACAATTATGAACGTAAAACAATTATGAACTTGTTTTAAGTCAATAATTCTCAAATTTGGAATAAAAATCCTAGTTCCACTGGCAGATAATTTTCACTTGTAACATTTTGACACATTATCAGTGAAAGATAATGGACCTGGTGGACCTGGTACTTTTTCTTGGTCAATATCCAAGAATCATTGATTCAAAACAAGTTCCTATATTTTGCTGAAAAGTCACTTCTAAGCTGGTTTTGTCTTCTAGTGTACTTAGACATTTGAATAAGAAATTAGACCAAAATACTTGGTAAGATGTTGTGTTCTTGCAGTGCAGAGACAAACAATGGGAGTTGATAGAAGGTGTTTTAAACACCACCACTAGTTCCCATTTTTTACTTGATCAAAGCAAAGTAACCCGACTTAGTGAGCAAACAGAAGCAGAAAGTGTTAAAATTCATGGACTAAACTGTAAAATCCACAGAAAAGAGCCAGAATATAAAACTGTGTCCTACCTGGGCAGCGGTCACAGAGCGGTCCGGTGACCCCGGGCTTACAGCGACACTGACCCGTCTGTGGGTTGCAGGATTCGGTTCCACATGGAGAACAGTTGCATCCTGCATCACAAAAGGAGTCATTTTCTT